GAGAAGTTGATGATACATTTCAAAAGCATGTATTTTTATCTTGAATTAAAATATATTAACGGAGTATGTATATAAATGATATATTATTGAAATATTATAATAATAATAATAAAGTAATATAATAAATATAATAAAATGATATATAATACAATATAGATATATTACAGCACATTTATATAACACAAAAAAACGTAAGTATCTCTACAACGAGAACCAATCAGCTTTTTTCAATGTGATATTCGTGTTCACGTTTAAATACTTCAGATTTGAGTACTTTCATCTAAGTAATTTCGTTGTTGCTGCTGAGGGTAATAGGATGCTGGTGGGAACAGTAATAAGGGAAAGTGGTTACATGACTTCAGGTTTTTTTATAAGTTCCAATAGCGAAAGCAAGTCGTAAATGGCGAACAAGAATATATATCTATTTGTAATTTCTGTATCATATCAGCTATGTATGTAATTTCGAATTATTATGTGTTCAATATAGTATTGTGTTCACACACACACACACATAAAATCTAAGAAGAAAAATCCATTTCATGTCTGTACATTTTTTTAGGAACTAAATTTATTTTGTTGGTGAGTTATTTTATTTTTTGGGGGGTGGAGGAGAAAATATTCGTTCATGCAAGATTTCTTCTATGGAAATATACTGAATATTCCATTGTTTTCGTAAAAAGTTATGAAATTTCTGAAATTTTGCAAAGAGTTTAGATTTTGTTACCTGTATTATTTTTTAAATTGTTCTTCAGAAATATTTCTTTTTTCTTCTCTTTGGGATTTTGTAAAAATATAAATGTAGTATCAAATTAGATATCTGGGCACGAGTTTTTTGCCTTTATTTCTCTTTTCCCCAAGATTAAAAAAATTATTTCTGATATTTTGTTATACGTTTGATAATAACAAATAGAGTTTCTGAAAACCTAGATTGCATAATTAACCCACCCCCCTGTGTTTTTTTATGGCTGTCTTTGACAAATGTAAATGCTTGAAATTATTTTTAGATTCATAAAACGAGTACATTTTCAGACAATAAAATGAATAAAATGTCTTCATTTTTCTTAGAAAATCACATATCTGTTTATAAATCAGTACTGTTTTTTAATGCAACAAATATTTTGCAAATAAATTTCATACTATAAAATTCATTCATAAATTTCATACTATAAAATTCATTCATAAATTTCATACTATACTATGGACCAATTTCCAAATCCAAACAGATCACAATAACATGACACATATTACACTAAACGTATATTCGTCAGTAGACAGACTGCACCGCCGCTACAGTTCAAAAATTTACGTATCATGACATTTGGTGATATAATTTGACGGCATATAATACGTATCTCTCTTTTAACATCGAAAGTAAAAATTCATTTAGCATTACAATATTGGAGACAAAACACGGAATGCATTTTTACCAGTAAAATTGAATCAACTCGTATAAATATAATGCTCTCTCTCTCTCTTCCTCTGTGTGTATTTTATATTTGTGTGTTTGTAACAACTAGACAAATATTAATTTAAATTTCAAACTTGCATATTTTTTCTATTTATCTTAACTACGAAACCATTTTTCAAAACATAGTATCATTTCATTTTCCACGTTAAAAGAATTACTCTCTGTTTTAATTTATAATATCCCATTCACAGAAAGAATTAAAACAAAACAAAATAGCTTACGCTTACATTTTCTTGTCAGCAAACTGGCACCAAGTTTCCTCCTAAAATCACTTTCATTGTTTAAAAAAATAACAAATATTTCCCTTCATGGATTATTATATTCCTACTATTTTCCAAATCTGAGAATATGTGGGAATTATGCTATCTCTTTTCTCGATCTGTACTTGTAGCTAAAAGCTGCACAGTCGTCACTCTCCCAATGTCTGAAATATATAAATAAATACTGTTTTCCACTCAGCTTTTTTTAGTTACACCTACACCACCAAATACGAAAAACAACAACAACAACACACAAAAAGAAATGTATAAGTGTGATAAGAATAACATATTTTTATTTATAATAGTCTTGTAAACTAAAATTGATATATCTTCACGAAGGTAACCAAATTTTAAGTTCCGACTTTTTTTTATTTGATATACACAATTTTTGAGCGTCAAAACTGTGAAACTTTTGTTTAAATCGATATACATTCGTCGTTCGTTATCCTCAAAAGAGCTTAAACCTCATTAAACTAACCAAAATTTCAATAATAACAAATAAAACTTCAGCCTTAAAAGTAAATTTATTTTATACTTTACCAAATAATTAATATTTTTACTAAACAGCGATACCCATGGAGATAGACTGGACAATACATTAATTTTAGTAATATTTTACAAACATTCGGAACCGCGTTAATATTTTTCATTCGTATTTTATAAAATTATCTGTATATGTTAGTAATACGGAAAATTTAGTTCAAAATAACCAATTATGTTTACATGAATAGTTTTTTTCAAAAAAAAAATTGATGAACTAAATTATAACTATTATAATAAGTCATTGAAGTAAGTTTATATATATTTACATATTCTTCACATTAAAAATTTAGTTATAAAATTAATGGAAAGTTGAATATATGAAATGGGGAGTAGGAAAAAAAGTATATCTGGGCCCATTTTTTCTTTATTATTCTATAGATTTCATTTTGATTTGAATCGTCTGCAAAATTGTTATAAATTTGCATATGGGAAAAATAGCCGAGCCTCCGATTATTTGAGTAACAACAGATTTATTAGTACACAAAAATAACGTTGACAAATCGGCGTATATACACAAAGAAATATTATAACAAATTATTTACAATAGTTCAAAACGTTCCAAAAACGGTTGTCTAGAACAGTTCCACTAGCAGGAACTCAGATAGTCTTTTATCTCAGTCAACTCACACGATTGAACTCTCTTCTGAACTGACTCGACCTTGTTTTAAAGGTTCTTTTGTTGCCTTATGGAAATTTCTAGAAAAGTTGATCCTACAGCCTCCTTAAAAATTCCTTGGTGGTATCGTATTTTCACCAAATTTGTCACCAAGGGTGATAAAGTCTGCAATCTGGTTACACAGGTGATTTTTTTATGGTTGCTGATATCGTACTTTTCAAGCTGGGAAACAAACTTTGCCTGTCAAACCTAATCTTACTACAAGGAGAGCGCAGGTGTATGGGACACAACACCCGTATGTGTTTCAGTGTTCTAACTTTGATATTTTTTTCGAGTTATGTAAGTTATTTATTGGCAATAAATTATGAAAAAAGTATGAGATAATTGATTTCTTTTGTTTTTCTTAAATAACACGATTTTACTTTCAAATTCAACGTATAAAGATTCTGAACACTTTGCAGGACTCAATTATCCTGCAGTGGATTCCTACTCATTATGGCATCGAGGAAAATGAAAGAGCCGATTTCCTGGCATAGGGAACGACTATTCTACAAACCACTAATAACCACATGACTTTTAATTCTGCAAAACTCCTTATTAAATTAGAATTTAAGAGGAGGTTTGCCTCCTACCTGTCAAATGAAGCTAAGGGAAAGGACTGGGAGTGTCTCACTAGTTTAAAGGCAGTAATTCCAGATTTTCCTCGTCCTGTAGCCGTGACATTATTTCGTCTTTTGACTGAGCACGATTATTTGAATGCCCTCCCTTTTAAAATTCCACTAAAGAACACTTCAACCTATACTCTTTGACTCTGGAAAGTACATGGATAAAGACCTTATTGACGATTGCATTGCATTGTTGTCTTTTAACTCTATTGTTAAGTATTTTGGAAGCTAGATCAAGTCCTATGCCTTAGTGGCCAAATATTGTGCATTTGTATAAATAAATAAAAAAACAAGTAATATTAAAAAAATTAAGTCAATTTTCCTACTTCGATCAACAAAGAAAATGTTTATTTTAGCTACTTTTTATTAAATAGTTACAAGTAATATAAATATGTATATACATATGACAGAATCACAACGTTATGTGGTAGTTAATTTTTATTAATTATCATTAAAGTATCGTATTGTCATCGAAAGCAATCGTGTATATAAAATTTCAGTTCAATTGAATGCTTTAAAACGTGAGAAAAGAGCCTTTTCAAGTTTTGACACGTCGCCAAAAATGATGCCGACGTGGCTGTATTTGTAATTCTTTAAAAAAATTAGTTTTAATCAATTAAGTTTTATTAATTATAATTAAATTATTGTATTGTCCTCCAAAATAATCATGTATATAAAATTTCAGCTCAATTGAGCGCTTTAAAATGTATTTTATTAACGATGGAAAATTCCACCAAGATAGATAAATAAATAGAGAGTGTGAACTAATAGTAGGAATTGAATAACTTTCAAATTCCTCCAAAATAATCATGTATATAAAATTTCAGCTCAATTGAGCGCTTTAAAATGTATTTTATTAACGATGGAAAATTCCACCAAGATAGATAAATAAATAGAGAGTGTGAACTAATAGTAGGAATTGAATAACTTTCAAATTTAATCGATATTTTAATCAAAATAGTAAAAACAAACGGATTCAAAAAAATCCTCATTTGGTCTCCCTCCCCCGAAAAAAGTATTCGATCTTACAGCTTAGCATTTATCATAGTTTCATAATTTTTCCTTATATTATAATTTTCCTTGTCATTTTCTGATCGTTTTTTTTAAAATAGGTATATTGTATTTTAATTATTATGAAAACTGCATGTTTGACTAAAAAAGCAAGCATTATAAAAAAAATAATTTAAGTCAATTCCTACTTAGGTCTATAAAGGAAATTTTTTTTATTTTAGTTACATTTTATTAAATAATTGCAATTAATATAAATATGTATATACGTATGACAGAATCACAGTATTAAGTGGCAAAATAGAAGACGATTTTCCATTTTCCTTTCTATATAGGGTGTTGGACTATTTTTGTGTTTGTTATTATTTATTTATTAACTAAATTTAATTATTCCTATAAAATAGTATAGTAGAAATAAATCATATTCTCAAAAATTAGGCCATCCCTGGTGGGATTTGAACGAACTATTTTTTTGGATTAGAAGTTCAACGCGGTATCCATTGCGCTGCAGGGACGCAAAGAATGATTTTTGATGTGTAACATCTTTCCTCTCGGTTACCGAATTTTGTTGGAGCGATTTCGTCGAAAGGGACGGATGTGGGTAACAAGAAGTGACGTAAGAGCGAGCTATTTGATTTGACCAATGAGCGCGCGTGAGGGGGTCTTTTCACTACTCTCGCATCGGGTCCAACTCTAGTTGGTAGTTGTTGTTTTTATATTCTTAGATTCCATATTAATCAAATTGAAGCTTCTCAAAGCGTCATCTTTCGTCAAATCTTTAATGCTCGATGGTTCATGATTAACACTAACCTCAGGACCGCAAGTAAAATACTGTCAATTAGACAGTTTCTTAAAAAGATTGCAACAAATTTCTTTCATAATATTGTTAATTCTAGTAATCTCTCGATCTTGGATATAAAGAGTGTTTTTTTCCAGGTATAGAAGTTTAAGTTGGCATTACTTTCCAAGATGACGACCGATTTAACAGCTGTCAAGTGATTTATTCTCAGTTTGGTTTGGCAATTCATCAAAACGATCATCAAGCAAGGCGTAGATTCGTCGAATGGGCCCAGAACGAGATTGCCGTTGTTCCCGATTTTCTTAAGCTAATTTTGTTTAGCGATGAAGCGCACTTCTGGTTGAATGGCTACGTCAACAAACATAACTGCCTCATTTGGAGTGAAGCTAATCCACATGTGTATGTCGAAACACCGTTACATCCAGAAAAATTGACTGTTTGGTGCGCTTCATGGGCTGGTGGAATCCTTCTTCAAAAACGATGAAGGCCACAACGTTATACAGTCAATGGTGATTGGTATAGAGCCATGATTACTAACTTTTTCATTCCTGAATTGAACAATCATGATGTCCGGGAGCTGTGGTTCCAACAAGACGGCGCAACATGTCACACAGCTCGCACCACAATCGATTTATTGAAAGACACGTTGGGTGACCGCCTAATTTCACGTTTTGGACCTGTGAATTGGCCTCCAAGATCTTGTGATTTAACACCGCTAGACTATTTTCTGTGGGGCTATGTAAAGTCATTGGTCTATGCGGATAAGCCTTGACCATTTGGAAGACAACATTCGCCGTGTTATTGCCGATATACGGCCACAAATGTTGGAAAAAGTCATCGAAAATTGGACGTCCAGATTGGACTACATCCGAGCCAGCCGTGGCAGTCCTATGCCAGAAATCATATTTAAAATGTAATGCCACAAGATTATCTTTCGAATAAAAAAAAATTCATGTCAATCGAATAATACATCGTTGTTTTATTGCAATTTAAAATTCTATACCTCTAAAAAAACACCTTTTAGAAAAATATATCCTTAATCCTAATTTCAACAGACCTAGAAATATTCTCTCAGACCCTCTCTTCATGTAATTATTTTTTTCCTTTCAAATTTCGCTTCTTCCATCTCAAATGCTTATTTCACCTCTTTCCACAAGTCCCCCGTAGTCTAGTGGTCAAAGACTCTCGATCCCGATGCTGTGGGTTCAATTTCCAGAGATTCTCTTCTTTTTTCAATTTTACTATTTACTCTTTAATTTTCCTCGTAAAATTATTCCGACAGATCCCTTTTTTTAATGTTCCTGTGCTATTTTTATTCATGATAGTATTTTTTAATAGCTTTTAAAAAAGAGCTGTTTTCTGTTTTTCTTTTCAACTATTTTTCGTGATTCTAGCTGCATTCCCATGGGTCGGTTTCGCCTTGCCCTCCCAAGATCGAAATTCTAACTTCATTTTCTGTGCTTTGTGCCGAATTTGAAGCTTCTTTTCTCAATTTTAATGTATTCTGATATTTTAAATTTTTATTTTCCTAAAAAAAATCTCCAATATTTTTATTATATATTCAAAGCACTTGATCTCAACAAAGGGCAAAAGTCAATCATTTACAGTCACTCAAATACCTACTGATATGAGGTTGTAGCTCTAAATAGCTGGTTACTGTAGTCTTCCATCCAACGATATTTTGTTAGTTAGCATTTCAAAAGATTCGATTTCTTATTTAGGATAAACTTACGATCCCCTTACGCTAAATTGTCAAAGTCTCAGGACTCATCGTGTAAGAAATCTGTAGTTATTTTATATGTGTAAACTATATTAATAATTATATTTACTGTTAAGTGTCTGAAAAAGTTCAACATTTTTAAGAATATATGAGTAAGGGATATGGAATTATTTGAATAAATATTTTAGAGTGGTATCTTTTTCATATACTTTCAGGTTAATTCCTGTCGCTGTCAATAGCAAACAGAACAAATCACATGTTGTGACTCCTCATATGGACATTATCGTCAAACAAGTGGACTGGGTATGGCTAGTTAAGATAGTGGGGACATTTGTGTGGCAGAATACATATTTGTGTGAAAATGGACAAACAGTGATTTCGGTGGCTATATACATTTCTCCGAATCAAACGGTTCAAAAAATTAAAAGTTTCCTGCATTTTGTAATTTTACCATATACCGAAGAAGGTTCTGTTCTTTTAAAAACAAACTATCACTCGCTTCCCATGATTTTGAGTGGTGATTTCAACGTTAACTTCAGTTTGCCAGAAGTTGAGCCGCTCATAGCTTTTTGATTGATGAACTAAAGTTCGAAATGAATACAAATCGAAATATTTCGACAGATAACATTGGTACTGTTATTGACGCTGTTTATCAATGGTTTTATAATACTTTGAAATCACAAGTATATGAGTCATATTTTACTTATCATAGGCCTATTGTACCCACTTTCCCCCAAATTGAACGAGAATAAATATTTTTGATAAAGAATTGCATTTATTTTTTTTTTTTACTCCAAAATAAAATTTTCATTAAAGATAATTATTCGATAGAAAATTATTTCTAATCATACTCGATTCAAAACTCAATTCAATCTCACTCAAAATCATGGGAAGCGAGTGATAGTTTATTTTTAAAAGAGCAGAACCATCTTCTGTTTCTCGTAAAAGTACAAAATGCAGGAAATCTTTAATTTTTTGAAACGTTTGATTCGGAGAAATGTATATGGCCACCGAAATCCCTGTCTGTCCATTTTCAAGTGTATTTCATCCACTCTTCCCCAAATTGAACAAGAATAAATATTCTTTGATAAAAAAATTGCCTTTTGCTCCTTGTGTTAAATATTAGATAAAATTTTCATTAAAGATATAATTATTCGATAGAAAATTATTTCCAATCATACTTGATTCATTTTTTTCAGGATTTAAGTTACTATTGCGTATTGTTACGTAGATCCGAGGGTTCAAGGATTTTATGCAAAAACAATCACAAAGAAAAATAATCAGTTCTTTAAAAGCGATGCGAATGTATTATCGAAAATCCAATCCTTTCAATACAGGGTTCATCGGCAATATTCACAGGGTAAATATCCGAAGGTCTTCACACCTTCAACATAAATAAAACACAATAACAGTGTTTAAAAATGCACGTAAGTAAAGATTATTCACAAGCACAGCCGAGTTAATCTCGCTAGTCAAAACAATCCTCACTACTCGCTGGCTTAATCAAGTCTCCTCGCCGTACCGGCGAGCATCCTCTTTTATATGCGCGACAAAAACTTCTAGAAATATAACCGCTCGTGTCATTGAACGTGACACTAGTGGAGAGATCTACTACTTTCTAGAAGATTCCAGAGGGTTCCGAACTCGCCAACAAGATCGCCAATGACGCCAAAATGGTCGCCAAAGTCACCAAATTGACCGCCAACAAGGTCACCAAAAATGATGCCAACTTGGCTCTACCGCCAAGATTTCGCCAAGTTCTCATTCAATCGCCATTATAACGTAAGGGGCGTACTATTCACTGCTTGTGAATAGTACAATTTTAACATGAAATAAATATAACATAGAGTAATATAAATGCATTAAACATTCAAATACAAATTATTTACACTATTTACACAAAATTTGTAACAGTATTTACCACGATAACATGTCAGATGTTACACATCATATGCGAGTACTGTAAGGCTTGATTCTTTCTTTTTCTTTCTATATATGCTGTTGGACTGTTGTTTTTGTTTGTTACTATTTATTTATTAATTTAATTGAATTAATGAATTAATATTTGAAAAAATTGTATCAACATTAAGTGTCATCCATTACAAGCTTAAAAAAGTGTATTTGAAGTTGAGTTGATGAATAAATACTAATACTAATAGTAGGAATTGAATAACTCTCCAATTCAATCGATATTTTAATCAAAATTACTAAAAATCCCCCCGAAAAAAAATTAAATCTTTCACCTGAGGATTTACGATAATTTTTCTTTGTCATATATAATATATATATATATATATATATATATATATATATATATATATATATATAATTTTTCTTATATTATAGTTTTTTATATTATATAGTTTTTCCGTATCTTTTTCTGGTCGTTTTCTTAAAATAGGCAGATTGCATTTTTTATTATGAAAACGATAAGTTTGACTATAAAATTCATTTTTGCTGTCAAACATTTTTTTTAAAAACCTCATAATACAGTGACAAACAAAAATCGATTCATTTATAACTCATTCATTTTAAAAGAAAAAATGCATTAAAATATGAAAAAATACTATGTATGATATTTTAAAAACATGCTTATTTCCATCTACCCCAAAAATTCGAGTGATTCTATTAAAAAAAATTGAAAAGGCTAAATAACATATAAATGTATCCCCTCTCTGACAATAAAAATTGATTTTATTTACATCCTGAAAAGAAAGATAAAAAAAAAAAAAATTCCTTCTTCTACATTCCGTTCCATTTAAAATCGTTTGCTTCGCATCGTTCGAAATAACTTTCAGACGATGCAAATACGTATACATAGAATAGAATTTTCAATTTGGTCAATATTTGGCTTTTTATTTCGTTTAATATTTCAGATATTACTTTTGGAACAGAATAGATATACTCCACCGTAGATGTGTGTAGTGAAAGCAGATATTCAAATGTATGTTATACTACATTAAATTTTTGGATATAATGTGGGGTTTATGAAAAGC